ATGACGGGGTACGTGGGGGTAGTAGAGAGTGGCTGACGTGGTTAGTATAACTACCATCCCTGGTGGGCTGGTGGGTGCATTACGCATACAATACGAATTCGCGTGCGAACGTGGTTATTCATGTTAATTACTTCATGAACCATTCGGAGGGGAGCAGTTTCTTCCGCCTAACGAGTGATTTGACAAAATACACATCGGGCTGAACAAATAGAATAAAATTTTAGCAGGAAATTACAATTTTGTTATTCTATATAATTCTTACATAGTTACATGCTTAAATACTTCAGATTATTTTTTTCATTCTGCGAAAGAATAATATTAGTCGGCTCAGCAGTTGATATGATGCGTGTTTATGTACTTTGCAATCCATCTCAAAAATTTTATTGATCAAAGTAACATGTGCGCCACAAAATTATCTTTCACTTCAGGGAGAAAGTTCTCCAGTCTGATGTCTTGTTTAAATGATTAATTATAATGTTTATGAGTAAAAAATAAATAAGGATTTTACTCTATTGCGCTTCTACACTTCCATGCTAATCGGTCGAACCAGTCGGTGACAGCTCAGTTGGTAGAAGTCCCATGTCTCGCGCCCTTATTACGTGATAGCCTGGTTTGAAAGTTTTTTGTCCGAAACTTGAAGACTATCAAACCAAACGCCAGGCGCGTGCGTAAGATGCGGTGCTTGCGCGTGCATACAAATCGTGTGATGTGAATTGTACGCATGAAAGCCTAATTAGGAGTAGGCATTTTATGCGTTTGTCAGAGCTCTGTGATAAAGAACAAAAAATTTTCGAAGATTGTTTCTAATGAAAACCTTATACACACACACACACACTCGCACACACATTCACACAGGCGCACGCACGCACACGCAATCTACAGATTTCGCCAATATACTTTCGTGTTAATCGGTCGAATCATAACTCATATAATCTATGTTTATTTTTTGAAGAGCCCACATGTAACGCCAAAAATGGCGGCTTAATAACATGGGTGATATTGCATGTGAAGCTTAAAAGTTCGTGGATGAGTGAATGTAGTAAGGAAATTTTAATTGCGATTGCTTGGAGCACTAAATTAAACTTTCATCTCTCCTCTTCAATAAAACACAATCTCACAAACATACAAGCCTAAATATTACAAAAAAAACACAAACACTCTGCGTAAACAGACATACAAAGGTACAAACATACAATATTAAATATCTAGCAGACACTTTTTAGAACTAAACACTGCGCTGATGTTAGTGGTCGAATAATAAATAAATCTTGCTAGGATAGTTGCACGGAACGTTTCAGCGATGTAAACACAGTAATCATCAAATCCATCTTTGTAAAATGTTCATTGTTGTCATCATCATCATCACTACCACTTTTACAATCTTCATCATCATTTATTCATGTCAAGTTCAATTAATTTGTGGCACTTAACTAATATTTGTTGAACGCATTTAATTTTAATATTAACTAAAATATTAAACAAGAAGTTGTACATAATTCATATCTACACAAATATCATGTGTTACAATTTACAATTCACAATTCTCTCTCTCACTTTCTCTTTCTCTCTCTCTCTCACACACACACAGACATACTCATACACACAAACACCCACCCCCCCACACACACACACAGAGATCTACACACACACGCACGAACCTAAATGCCTAAATATTCCACCTGGATGTGAATAAACGAGCGAGCAAAACACGTTTAAATTAAACAACAATTAATTAAAAGTAAAATATCAATAAGAAAAACAACAACATAAAAATAACAACAACATAAAAACAACATTATCAAGAACAATATAAACAACAGTTTAAAAAACAATATAAAAAAAACAACAACGATATAAACATAAACAACAACAACAACAACTATATAAATATAAACAATATCAAAAGCATCAACATCAACAACATAAAAAACATTAACAGTAACAACAACAATAGCCTAAACAACAACATCAACAATAACAACAACATAAACAACATGAACATAAACAACACAAAATAAACAACAACAACATAAACAACAGCATCAGCTGACCTGATATTTTTTCCACTTCATTGCTGTCGATCCAGAGAGCCAGCAACTCAGATGTTGGTTGTTGTTGAGTTGGGGAAAGGGCCGAGTGGAATCTTCTGGCATGTTGGCCAGGTGCCATTCTCGCTACTTGGCCCATTTGCCCTGAAACTAACCTCATAACCGTGTTGAGCAACAGCACCAACACACACAAGATCGTGAAGTGAATGTGCGACATCTCCTTTTTGAATGTTGATGTGCTTGTTTTTGTTACTTTAGTTGATGATGCTGTTTTGGCTGTGGTTATGGTTTGTTATTTGTTGTTGCTGTGTTGTTGCTGTCTGTTGTACGTTACTGTTTGTTGTTTGATGTTGTTGTCGGTTGATTTTTGTATGTTGTCGTTATTTGTTGTGTTGTTTGTTTTTTTTGTTTTAAGTTGTAAAAATTTAAGTTGTTTTTAAATTAAAAAGGCATGGTTTGTCGATTTGTTAACAATGTGGTCATGTTGTTATTATCATTACTGGTTTAGTTTGTGATGTATGATTTATTTTTATAAACACAAATATCAGTGAAGGGTGAATATTGTTGTTGATATTTAGTTAGCTCTCGTGTGCTTTTTATTCCAAGTTCGGTTCTGAACGTCGTTTTTTTTTAAGTCAATCACAATTAATTGCAGTATGAACCGATGTACATTTTTATGTTGTTGCACTGATGCTGTTGATGTTGTTGAAGTTGTTTTTGTTAAGGTTTTTCAATGTACATATATTTATATATATTATTTAGTTTTATATATATATATATATATATATATATATTGATGAGAATCACAGCATTCTTAAGTTAGCTACCTGTTTAAATTTTCAACTTTTCTAACGGTAGATCTTCATTGGTTTGGTTAACACGCTATATCAGCAAATAGACCGTGTAGCAATGGGCTACCATTGGTAGTACTCTTCGCAAACTTCTATGTTGGACATATCGAAGTGATGTTATTTTAAGAAGGACCAGTGCTAAAACCTTGATCCAGAAAATAATAGAAGGCAAAGAACAAAAAATTAGCAACAACAACAGTGCAACCAACAATAGTAACAAAAATAACATAGTAATAAATTATAAGAATTACATGTCAACCGCTTTCGAACAGGATGAAAAAATTATTAAATGAATTATAAAAAATAACGTGTCCAAGCAATCAACGAAAACGATAGTATTAAACTACAAATATATTACTCCAACCAAAAAACGTCATCTCTTGTGATGAAAAACAACTGCACTTTTTAAACCAGAATCGATACTGGATCATAGCCATCTAATATATTTGTTCAAATGTAACATTGATGAGTGTGGGCACCATAATTCCGAATATAATGGTATGACGACGACCAAGTTATCGAGAAGACTCACGATGCACGTACAAACAAGCGCTTTAAAGAATCACATGAAATAAAAACACAAAACTAAAATTACTAGGCAAATTTTGGACCACAATGTTGAAATCTTACGTTACAATAACAACCATTATAATTTACGATTGGCCAAATTAATACTCATAGATAATAAATATTCAACAATAGGGCAATCGGAATCCTTCCCCTGATAAATATAGAAACAGAGGAATCATCGATACTGATGACACGTACAAGTAAAAATCGTAATAACTAATTAAATGGCCAATAAGTATTCCCATAAAACAAAAAAAGAATTAACATTGTAGTGACACAGTGCCGTTAAAATATTCTTGAGCATTCGGCCATATACACAACGTATCAACTCGAACACCGAAGATGGTATAGGAATACCGAAAAAAGCTTTTTTGTTCTATCATGCTTGAAAGTACTACCATGCTTAAAATAAATAAAAAATTTGGTTTGGAACTTAAAAAATTTGAAAATGATTAACGATTTTCCGTTAGAAAAATCGAAAAATTAAACCAGAAGCTAACTAACGCGGAACATGCTGTGATTTCCATCAATAACTGCTTTTCTGATAATCTTAATCCAATTTATATATATTTATATATGTATGTATATATAATAAAAAACAATTAAATAACCATGATAATAAGATTTAGGTATCCATTAAGAACCCAGAGCAAAATAAGATACCCTCCTCATCCGCAATCAACATCATGTTAATTAAAACGCATCCAACAGTGCATGAATTTTAATGTTACCAAGATTACTTCAATAATAAAATCACCAACGATATATCATAGATCTCAGCAGTTGTCTGATGTCCGATGTGTTTTTCTTTTTATATGCTGCCTGGTTCTTTATGTTTCATAACTCGTTTTTATAAACACACACAGACATATATATATATATATATATATATATATATATATATATATATATATATATATATATGTCTGTGTGTGTGTGTTTGTTTGTTTGTGTGTGTTGTGTATGTGTGTGTGTGTCTGTGAGTTATGTATGTGTGTATGTATGTATAAATGTACCCTATACGTTTATATACATATATAAATATATGTTGCCTAGTGTTATATCGCAGACAACAGACACGAATTTTGTTTTAAAATATTACATATTCTTTTGTATGCATATACATGTATGCATATGTTTAAATAAAAATTATATATTCTTACGTACATTATACACACACACACACACACCACACACACACACTCACACACATGCACACATGATAATATTATGGTAATATTATCATGTGTGCGTGTGTGCGCGCGTGTGTATGTGCGTGTGTGTGTGTGTGTAGGTCGGTGGGGGCAATGAAGCCATATTTAATATGGGCGGCGTGATGGCTCAATGGTTAAAGGCGCCTGGTCTTGCTGCTGCAGTGACTGGGTTTGAATACAAAGAGATCCCCGCCTCTCATATGCAATGTGTATGATGCGTAGTTTTCACGCGTATTTAAACACGCTGTGTGTGCTTGTCGTTGAAACCTCTGAAGCAAGCGCAAAAGAGAGCCGACCCCCGGCCAACCCAGCCAAATGCTCGTTGGGTCAAACATCTCAATGGCTATCATACACTCAGCGTATATGATGCGGTGCTTGCGCGTGCACTTTTCTGCACCATAAATACATGTGTACGTCGTGTTTAAAGGATAAAACAGCCTTTGTGGCGAAGATGGCTGCTTCAAATCAATGGATGAAGATATGAAGAACAAGATAAAAGATATATAAATAATATTTTTGTAACACTGTAAGGGGTTCTGCGTTCTACAAATTTTGCCAAATTTTTGGCATTAACTTGGTTCTCTTTTGTTTTTTATATTTTTCTCACCAAGGCTCTTTTAAAGTTTTTTTTCATTTTGTAAAACAAATTCTGAAACGTAACAGGTAACAACATGTGAGGAATGAAACGACAAAGATGAAGTTAAAAATCATGAATACTGAAGGTATTAGTTGCGTTATGTAGATGTAAAATAAAGTGATAAGCAGGAATAAAATGAAATGAAGTTTTAAACATAATGTAATCAATTAAAATTACGATAAATAAAATAAATTAAAATACTATAAAATAAAATTTAACAATTGTTTAAGAAACTAAAGGAAAAAAATAAAGGCCAAAAAGGCAGCATACTTTCAAAGCCAACCATATTATACTGTCCTTCAAACTTACAGACATGTCCAATTTATTGAAACTTGAAATAACAAAGAACTAGATTTTGTTGTGCAAATAGACCTATTCCCATTCAATAAATCATCGTAATTGCAGATGGAGATTAAAACAGTTTATGAGTAAAGAGGATAGGTAGTCGCAAAAAAGTTTATGTTATTAGGCAAGAACAACCTCACTCGTAGCATTCAAACACGTTGGGTGGCAACGACTACCATATTGGAAGAAACGAAAGTTTTGCGTCACAAGCTTGAGACATTTGATTGCCATAACCCAATAGAAGTAAAAAAACGTGAAGTAAAAACTATCGTTGACACAACAAGCCGAACGAAATAACAAGTGAACACACCGTGAAATAGAAATGCGACACACTTTGGGCTAGCAACAGAATTTTCTTTTTGAAACAAAAAGGCATTGGAATATCCAGAACCAACCAGAAAAATTTAAGATAAACGAAGCAAAAATAATCAACAGCTGTCCAGCAACGACGCCCTTTTATTCAAATTTTCTTTTTACGAGTTCGTCTTTTTTTTATTTAAATCACCAAGGTTCAATTTTTATTTATTTAAAAATCCACCTTTGCAAAAGCTACGTAGGTTTCATAATCACGGTTATCACGAGGCCTCCAAAAAGCCAATTACGAAAATTTTTAAATAATTTATTTATTTAGTAAGTGTATAGACGTGATTTTGTGTTTTGATTTTTTAATATATTTATTCATAAATAATCTGTAGTAATGCATATACTTAGTTAGAATAAACGCTTTTTTAAAATCCTGACCGAATTGGTAATCCACGTCTATTTTTAGTCGGACATTGACATCATTATACTTGAATGTAATTGGTTGATATAGTTTTTGGACGAGTCGGCTTTTTCAAACTTTTTTTGTTGTCTGTTCCGTTTGGTTTATTATAGTGAGTTTTAAATTTTATTTATATATTTATCAATCTCTTCTTTAATAGGTTTAAATATAACTACTATCTTTCAGGTAAGAAAAACAGAAAATATACTTTCACTCACAGGTACTGACTCACTAGTTTAAATCTAAGGTACAAAAAGTGTTGATAGGTAAAGACGGATATCTGTTCTCCTCGATTTACGTGACTGATGTTACACTATTTTATTTCACTTTTAATTTTTTAAATTATATTTTAAGCCCTGAAGTTAAAATAAATTATTAGAATTAAAACACTATCAACTTTTAGATAGATACGTGATCATGAAGAGACATCATCCAAGTGGAGCACAAAAACAAAAAATTTTGAAAAGTAGAAGGGAAGAAACCGAAGCTCTGTCTGGATCAATGCTTAAATTTGTTAACCAAGTTATTAAACCAGAATCCATTATTGCTAGTTCATCAAGTCAGCAGACTGATTTAGATACAACCGTAGAATCTGACCAAGGAAAAACAACCACCGAAACTGAAAAACGTCAAACCAACAATGCGAGGATGAAATCAATTTTTCTAGTGAAAATGATTTTTTTAAAATTGTGATGTGGGAAATTGGACAATTTCGTTATAAGATAACATCAGAATCAGTATAGTAAAACTAAAGAGTGAATATTTCCAGAACAAAAATTGTCCATTTAGAGTGGTTCAAAGAGTAGGGAAGCAAACAAAGGGTCAAACTCGACAGTTGACAAAGCATTGGTTCTACAAGCATCTTCCAAATGGTGAAAAAGTTCTCAGAAAGTGGATGGTTTATTCTCCTTCCAAAAAATGTTTATTTTGCTTTTGTTGTCGACTTTTTGCTGCTTGTGATAAAGAAAGTAATAATTTTTCAAAATTTGTTACAGGGCTTAATAATTGATGGAAACTAAACCTTAAGATTTCACATCACGAAAATTCAGAAATTCACTTAAACAATCATGAAAAATGGAAAACATTAGAACCAAGTTTGAATCTTAATAAAACCATTGATGCCGTTCATCAAGAAAATCGAGAATTGGAAACTAAAAAATGGAATGACATTTTACACCGCTTATTGGATGTCACCATGTTTCTAGCAAAACAAAATTTACCTTTTTGAGGCCACAGAGAAGATGACTTTTCTAACAACAAAGGTAATTTCTTAGAGTTAGTTGAATTAATTTCACACTACGACCCTGTCTTAAAAGAACATTTAGTGAGGGTCCAACATAGCAAGGCAGGAAACACGATTTCATATCTTTCCCCTAAAATTCAGAATGAATTTATTTCTATATTGGGAGATACTGTGAAACAGAAAATTATTGATGATGTAAAGCAAGCAAAGTATTACGGGATTCAACACCTGATATATCTCACCAAGACCAATTAAGTGAGATTATTAGATATGTTCATATAAAAACAAAAATGTAGAGGTAAGAGAATCATTTTTAGGATTTTTTCCTCTTGCCAGAAAGAAGGCTATTGATATCACACAAAGAATTGTAAATATTATTGATAAAGAGGGTTTGGACATAAACCTATGTCGAAGCCAAGGTTATGACAATGCTTCGGTAATGTCAGGTGTTCATTCTGGGGTACAAGCCAGGATCCATGAAATAAATCAGAAAATTTTATTTGTACCTCGTTCTAATCATTCACTTAACTTAAGCGGTTCACGCATTTGGAAGCAATCCATCTTGTGTAACGTTTTTTGGAACAATTGAAAGCATTTACAACTTCTTTTCTTCAACTCATAGATGGGATATATTGTCAGAAATAGTCGGGATCACTGCAAAAAGACTAGCAGGAACCAGGTGGAGTGAGCAATATCATGCGGTGAAACCTGTAATGAATCATTTGAGCAAGTTGGTACAGGCTTTAGAAAAATTATGTGATCCATCAGAAAATGTAGATACGAGAGGTTCAGCTCAAATTTTAATGAAAAATATTCAAGATTTCAAATTTCTTGCTTATCTTCATTTCTGGAGCAGTACTCTTGAGGAAGTCAATCATTCTCAAAAATACTTGCAAACAGAAGGAATTGGTTTAGATAAAACCATTGAAAAATTAGATACCTTAAAACTTTTTCTGCATGAGAGTCGCGATGAATTGGTTGAAATGTTACCATTTCTTTTTGCCATTGCATCAAATAAGCAACCATATGATGGTCTTTGGGATGAACAGCATGGTATGCTTTCGAACTCGATGACACTGACTTCAACGACCAAGCAGATAATCATTACATCCACCATATAATATCTATGTATATGTAATACATATTATTTATTTATGAAAAGCATCACAAATATTTCCGCCCCAGGCCTCAAAGGCCCTAGGAACGCCACTGCATGCTAAAAGTTTTTTTTTGAATTTACGATGATTTGCTTCAAACCATTTGCTGAAATAATTTTAGTCTTTAACTTACATTCTTTACTAGACTATTAAAATCTTTACTTTCAGCGTAACTGTTGTTTAATCGACAGTCTAACCAACATATTGAAAAACAGTGAACCAAGGAAAGGTTTCTATGAAGCACTTTTTTGAAACAGCCCAACTGCTAGCTGACAACTTTCCAGAAACGCATATTGATCTCTTATCAACCCGACAAATAACTTCTAAACTAATCCAGCACCATAGCCTGAACTCCGCAACAAGCCAATTTATCAAACAAAACTGCATGATCGATTGGATCAAAAGCTTTTGGCAGGTCAAAAAAGCAGACAGAATCAATTCTCTATTTGCAATGTTTTTTGCGACAAAATTTGTTGAATCTAACACCGCAAACTCAGTCAAAGGATTTCCCTAAAGAAAAATATATATCATGTTTGTAGGAAAAATTAAAAAATCTTTTATGAACAACTTTTTTACAACCTTTAAAAACAAAAATAAAAGTGAGTGAGTGAATTATGCCAAAAAATGACTTGATACATTTCATACATTATTTATTTCTTCCATCAGTTGTCTCCAGCCAGAAAGTCCAAAATTACTTGTTGCCATTTCTTCTAGTGTTATTCTAATTCTTCCAGTAGTTTTACGTGTATTGATAAACCAGCTCTTTTCAAATCTCAACTTAGACACTCGTTACATCTCATTTTGGCACTGCCTTTTGATCATTTTCTCTTTGGTTGATACTTCCAGATTTTTTTAGATATTCTGAACTCCTCCACCCTCATCGTATGTCTTGCCCACTTTATTCTTTTTTTCTTGATAGCATCAATAAAATTCATTCACCCTATTCTTTTCCTGATTCCTTGTAGCTAATTCACATCATTCTTCTAATCCACATATTCTCGCAGGCATCCAACTTTTTTTTAGAACTATAAAAAAAATTTGGTTGCGTTAATGCCGACGACTCAGCCTCATATATCAAAACCGGTACCACCATAGCATTGTAGGTTCTCAGCTTGACCTTTTGTTCAATTTCACACATACAAAACAAAAAAAAAACAATATACTATTCTTTTAAATGTTATTTTTACAAACGTTTGTAATAAATTAAATAAATTTAAATCCTGAATTATTTACTAATTAAAAATTAAAAGTATTGTACGCTTCTTCCTTTTATTATTATTATTATTATTATTACTATTATTATTATTATCAGAGCATAAAAATGAGTTTATCAAACGCACTATCAAAATTTAATAATAAAAAAACAAAAATAAAACCCTGTCCTAAACTTGAAGCATCATCTTATTCCACAGGAAATTGGTGGGTTTTAATCCATTCTGTTGGTTGCCAGTGTTAAATGTTCACACCCAAACTCGAATACACTCGGACCATGAACTTCCTCTGGTAAATCACACCAGAATATTAAAACGAAGACTGTGGGATGGCTGTGTGTAACCATGTCGTGCTTTGTTAACCTTTTTTTAAACTATTTTTTGTTTCATTCGCAACACATATGGTCACGTTACTAGCGTGAAATATTTTGTCGTGCTGAAGGAGTTTACTCCGAGTGATTTTCATGCCTCTTCTTCGCATCGAACCAACAATAAATTTGAAACAATTTTCAATTTCTAACTGTTATAAAACCGTCATTATTCGTTACTACTATATGATTCTTACTTCTGTGCTAAGCTCAATAGAAAACAACATTTCTCAAACGAACGAACATAAACGTTTTCAAACTAGTCAAAATGACTTGAAACCTAAACAGTTAGGACGATAACAAATTCAGTATTTATTACAGAATCAAAATATTTGAGAATGAAAAAGTTTTTTGATGAATCTTGTAAAACGAAGCAAATAATGTCCCTAATTAAGTGATGTTTCATCTGTTTGTTAATCGTTAGCAGTACAACATTATATAGACTTGTGGTGTTTGTTACTCCGCATTATTGGATGTGTTAACATGTTGATCAATAAAATAAAATGAACCTCGTGAACTTTAAAAATCTCTTTCACTTGACATGCGTGCAGCATATGAAAATTTAAATGTTATAATCAAAATAAATAGATGAGTTGGCGCGTTCGCTCTCTTAAAATGGCATTAAACACGATGTAATAATTAGCGCAAACGTGAATAAAAATTTCTTGGGAACGCATCATGAACGAAGTTCTTAAGTGCTTAAACGCTCGTAGTATAAATTACTGTGTAACCACAGCACGAAAGCGAGATGTTAAACACGTTGGCACATGAAACAACACATCAGTTTGCAGCGAGCAAACGTATGTACACTCGTTTGAACTCAACAATAATATAATAAGAGAACTGGTTCGTGGCGATGAAATTAAAAATTGAATTAAAACTTTCCAACGCATCGCGGTTCACGTGTTCCTAATTAATTCTTCATTCATCAACAATTAAATAATCAGTTAATCACCTTTCCACAAGGCATCATCATCTGCATCGTTTCCTCCCACTGCAATGAGCCTCAAATATTTTAGCATTGTTGATGACGATGAATGTTGAAATGTTACGAATGTATGAATTATATTTACGAAGCCGTAGCCAAGGGAGACTGCCGGCCGAGATAATTTTCAGCTATCAAGAAATTACACAGCGCAAAAAGTAGCAAGGTGATAAAAAAAACAAAAAAAATAAATAAAAAAAACATTTAATGACCATTCACAAAAATCTAATTTGTTATTGAATTCATTAAGCAAATGATAATTGTTTGCATTAAGCAAGTTTCTTGGACCCATATATAAATTATGTCTAAATTATTTCAGACTGCGAATTTGGACATCGAAACCACTGTGAAAGATGTTGTTAAGATGCTTCTTAATTTTAGAAAAAATGGAAATGAAGAATTTAGTGATTTATTTGTTCAATCTAAAAAACATTTGTGAAAAAGTACTTAAAGAAATTGAAATTTCAAAAACTACTACAAAATTCAGTAAGGATCGATGTAATGTGACCTTACAAGATCCTGAAGACCATTTTCGAATATACATTTTTAATCACTTCATGAATTATTTAATTTTGTCACTAAAAATTCTTACATTTCTTGAGCATGTTAAATTTATAGTTTCTTTAAAATATATTTTACCAGAAGGATGTGATGTGCTTTATAAATATATTGAAGAACATGTCATATTTTATAAAGATGCTCATCCTGAATCTAATCAATCAATCAATCTTCTTTTTGCGCCAAATTAGACGATCAGTTGTATCCATTTCATTTAATCTGAATTTAATTTAATAAGAACAGTCCACTTCGTTAGCATTGTTTTCTATCCATCGAGATATGTCCATAGAAATAAACAGTGACATGATTCTGGACCATTTCAGCCATACGACGCGTCGCACAAAATTATGTATATAAGAGATGAATGAAAATAAAAAAATTAAACAACTAATGTTCGTGGTTCGTGTTGACTTTTTGAAGTTTTTTAAATTCTAGCTACGGACATTTACCTATATAAACTTGAACCTGTCTTTGAATTTTTATTTTAAATAAACTTTTTAATAACAATTTCTGAATATTTGGAAAAAGGTGAGCAATACATTATGTCAGTGCTTCTATTCCAGTTTTTGTGTCCATAACGATACGACCATTGTTCTTTTATCATATTATTATGGATCAATTTTTTTAAGCAATTAAATTGAAACGGAGTTTATCCCATAATGTTAGTTGATACCAGAAGTGAGACTTGCTTCACTCAGCATGAGTATGCAGCGTGCATCACGGTTGACAAACACCTTCTGTCTTATCCCTTACATTATATTTCTAATGAAGTGTTAACAATTATGTAATAATTTTTAGCAACAAATAAAAAAAAAGTAGATTTGTAATATTAAAAGTTCTCACTAAATGCATGTAAGCGAAATTTATTTGCTTTGTTCGGGTGAATTTAAAATGCTTGTAGGTATAAGACACGCCTACTACATGTGTCGAATGCATTTCTGTTTATATTGAAGGCATTCAACATCTTTCAATTATGTATGTATGTATGTATGTATGTATGTATGTATGTATGTATGTATGTATGTATGTATGTATGTATGTATGTATGTATGTATGTATGTATGTATGTATGCATGTATGTATGTATGTATGTATGTATGTATGCATGTATGTATGTATGTATGTTTGTACGTACGTACGTGTGTATAATTGTATTATATGAGATGAGAGTGAAGAGGAAGCGCACTTGTGAGCACTTAATGAAGAGCGGTGCAGGCTGCAGGCAGGTCAAGTGTTGTTTCATTGCAAGTGAAGTGAAAGTGAGAAATTAAATTAATCATGTACGCATCGGGTGAGCAAGTGGACACTTCAACATCACTCACCACCCTTCCTTCATCACTATTCATAACATGTTCATATGTTCATAACTTGCTCGTCATTTTTGTAAAAATTGTAAAAATATCCATCCACTTTAAATTTTATCAGACCAATCTTTAACTTTTGGTTAACATCCATGGTTGTTTTTGTTGTCATTTTTTAGTAAGTATATGACATAAAAATGTGGTATTGGATTTTTGCCAGTCAGTCACCAATCATTCATTAACCATTCCCAATCATTCATCGCACACTCACCAATAATTTGTCATCGTTCATTTAGAATTCATTTATCCATAATCAGTTAGCAATAGCTGTGAATTATTCAGAAACGTACCATAACAACGTAGTCAGTATTTCGTATGCAGTATAAAATTGATAGCATTTGCAATTTGCAAACAAACATTTTTAAATTTAACTAGAGAGTTCCTTGTGATTCGTATTCCCCGAAAAAGATTTAAAAAAAACAATAAATTACTTATTTATTATGAGCGTTTAGAGCATTTCAAACATTTAAAGTGCAATCTATCTCAGACGTTCACAATATTGTAAATACCTAAATGAAAAAATGTGTACAATTGATCCAATTGAATATTGAATAGGCACTAGTCTTTAATCATGAAACACACACACACACACACACACACACACACACACACAGATATATATATGGAGTGAGAAGGAAGTGTTTATTTGAAAGCCACTTGAAAAAATAAACTTCATGATATTTTGTGAAATGTAATGCGTCAGTTTTCCATGCATGCCATCAATTCATCTGCACTCATTCTTAACAAAATTCTTACATTTTTTATCACCTACGTAAAGCAAGCAAGCATGTTTTATTATTTCAAGCTTATACGAACACCCGAGAGCAAGAACTCTTACCGATTCACAATAAAATAAAGCAGTGTTCACTCGCACAAGAGCACTCCACTCAAAATTATTCCCATGTTAATTAACATCGAGGCAAGGAGAAACAATAAAATTTGATCTACTTCATCCTTTCATCCGATGATCTTCGGACGTAGTTTTTACAATTTAAATAAAATAAATTTTATTGATTAATCTTAAAAAAATA